ACATCACATCACGTCAAGGCTAGACTCGGCATCTTGCTGCAGAGGCTTCTCTAAGCCAAACAGCAGCCACAGAGCTCTCTCTGAAATCCCAGCTGAAATGAATTCCCTGTGACCTTATGATCACGCTAAAATCACGCAGTGCATGTACTGTCCCTCAGGAAAAGGGGTGTAACTTGGCAAGGCTCTTTTTACCCAGGCAGTTCATTTATTTCCTACAGAAAAATGAGTCAGACCTGTCACCTCAGAGCAAACAACTGACTGTTTTCACACCACTTTCCCATTCCTTTGTGATGGTCTAACACTACTGAAATCCTTGAGAGTCCTTTACGGATTTAAAGTTCAAATAAGCACTTACAAATGCCAAGAAGGGCTGAGAACGCTAACAATTCATTAAACTAACGGTGCTGAATGAGAATCACACGTTTGCAAAAAACAATCACAATGGCATCAGAGTGATGAAAAGAACAGAGATGCCCTCGTGAACTTTCCTCGAAGCCCTGACCAATAGCTCTGTGTAACAGAAAAGACCCATTTGCAAGATGTGGCTGTTCTGCCGCATTTAGTTGCAAAATTTTTTCTGCTTCTTATTTTAACAAAACTGTGGCCAAAGAGCAGAAGCTGTTGCAGTAGATCTTTTGGTGCATATGATTTTGCACCTGCAGGTTTCATAACTTGCTTTTTCATTGCTGGATTGAGAAGTGGTTTGTTCCACTTCTGCCCTCCTTCCCTCCTCACAGACCATACTCCTGCCACACCTGTCCTCTCCCAGCCTCGTTCGTCTATCGAGCCTGATTATGGTGGCTACCCGCTGAGCTTACCTCGCTGTTGCTGTAGCGAGCAAGCTCTGAGATGAAGCGGATGTGGTCATCTCGGATCTGGACCATCTGTTCACAGATGTTGTACTGGGGACTTATGCTGCTCTGAGTGCACGTCCACCTGGGCAAAAAAGCAACGTTTCAAGGACAGGACATGAAGCTCCACTCAGACACCCCCAGGGACAAAGCCTCGCACTCAAATGCTCTCTTCAACATGCTCAAGACATGCCACCTTCAGGGCATGTCCCCTCATGTGCCTGGGGTGTGTGAGGTCTTCCAAAGGTGATCTCACAAAAAGTGATGGGGTTGGTTGCCTCACCTTTCAGCCTGAACATCTCTGCTCAATCTACCCTGAAGGCTGCTCTCCATTTTGGGCTCACTTACCCTCATGGTCAGAGGTGGCTATGCCCCAGGCCACTGTTGGGCAAGCTTTCAGGGAAGGATGAACTGCAGAGCCTTCGTTTGCATCCTTTCTGCTAAACTTAAGCATAATCATTCCCTTAGAGGTCATCCAGCCAGGTCTAAAAGTGCTGGGTCATGCTGCCACCTCCTGCAAGGGGCCAGCCAGGAAATCTCTCTCCCACTGTTTTTGGTTCTGGCTAACTCTACATAAATGACGAACAGAATATCATTAAATGAACTAGATATTCATTTGCATTTAGCCACATGTACCATGTAACAGTGTAATGGAGTCCTAAAAGAAGGCAGCACTCCCCTTCCAAAGGCACAATCACATGAAGAAATGGTGCAAATCAAGTCTATTTAATTTAACATTTTCTTTTTCCCCCTTCTATATCAGCTACAGATGTAGAACCAGAACAGCTCCACCAAAATGCTTCGTGCAAGCAAATGTCTGTCAGTGAGACCCTCATGTCTTACTCTGTCATCACAATGTAAATGTTCAGATCTTGGGGTTTTTTCCCCCCTAAATAATTGTCCATCTTAAGACAAATAGTCATCTTGTCCAATCTAGATTGGCCATACAAAAGGAAGGTGAGAAACCTGCCTCTGATGTGGACCTAGACATGAAGACATATTCCTACAGTTAACTGTGAGGCACCTGTTGCCAGTATTTGTGGTGGTGGAAGGTCCTGGAAGTGCTGGACCATGTCATCCCTTGTGAAATCCATCCTCCCACAGTCCCATCACTCGACTCTTACCCGTTCCAATGTCCTGTGCTCCCCACCGGACAATCGGCAGGTTAGCAGGAACGGCCAGGGCTGCACCAGCCCTCCCTGCCACACACAACCTAGTCCACAGTGCAGAAACAAAGCGCCATGCAGGAAAAACAACAATTAATTCCACTTTCATAGAGACGGAGGGAAAGAAAGTGACAAAAGCCATATTAGTAAGAAATGGAGATTATATGGAACCACCTTGGCAGAGTTAGCGTTGGGAGGCCCATGCAATTTGCTGGGAAAGCAAGTGAGTGAGGAAGAAACATTGGTTAGTGAGGTACGGCACACAGACCTGGTAAGACAGATTTCAAGACAGACATTAAAACTGTGCACAGGTGAACAGCCGGCGAGCTACCTTGGTTTTGAGATGAGAAAACGAATGCAGCTGACACATGTTTCGTTGAAATGTGCGTTCTAAATGATTTGGGATAAAAAGGTGCAAACTTTTAGACAATTTTTCCCTTTTAAATCCAGCTTTCCAAAATATTCTTTAAATTTACGTTTTGTAGAATTTTAATTTTTCTTCCCTTTTTTGTTCAATTTTAATTGAAAACCTTGTGCTCAGGAAGTTTTGCCACGTTGTTTTCCAATTTCTCATGAACAATTAATCGGCACTTTTCAACCAGCCTTTGGGAGGGCCGTTCCGGGGTGAGCCACGCGGTGGGCGGAAAAGCCAGACCCTCCAGGGTGGAAGGGGACGAGCAAACAGCAGCGGAGAGATGAGACTGCAGGTTAGTTCCTGTCGTGCTGAAGAGACAGCCCGGCCGGGCTGCTCCTCACAGAC